CCAACATAAGAAACAAATGGAATCCATAAAACAGATGCAAACAGATTTCCAGGAGATTAAAAACTCCATTGAAAGTTTACGCAGCTGAATGAGCCAATGAGAGGACAGAATTTCAGATATAGAAGATCAGATTGCAATTAGTGCCCAGGAAAAGAAAAGTAAGGGACTGCGAGAAATCAATCCAGCAGCTGCTAGACAATGCAAATAATAACAGAAGACTGATTGGAGTCAATGAAGAAAGAGGAGAGAGTGCAGATGACATAAAAAAACTGTTCACAGAACTGATGACAGAAAACTTCCCAAGGAGGAGAAAACAACTTGACATACAGATAAGGGAGGTATATAGGACTCCAACTAGCCATGATCAAAAAAAAATCTACACATAGGCATATAATTGTTAAGATTCCAGAAACCCAACAGAAGAACAAAATTTTACAAGGAGTGAGAGAAAACTAACAAATCACTTACAAAGGAAAGCCCATCAGAATCACAGCAGACTTCTTGACACAAACCCTCAAAGCTAGAAGAGCTTGGAGTGATGTATTTCAAGCCCTAAAGGAAAACAGTCTCCAACCCAGACTGATGTACCCTGCAAAACTATCTTTCAAAATTGATGGAGAAATAAGATACTTTCATGACAAAGAGCACCTCAGGAACTACATGAATACCAAACGAACACTCCAAAAAATTTTAGACAATATCCTAGGAAAAGACAATGAGGATCATAACCCCAGGAAGCCCAGAAGCATGAATCCATCAGGCGCAAGAAATTAAACACAAAGGGGGAGAATCCAACAAAAAGAAAAAGTCATGACAATGATAAGTCAATAGGTATCAGTTATAACCATCAATGTTAATGGTCTCAATTCACCAGTCAAAAGAAATAGACTGGCAGAATGTGTCAAGAAGCAAGATTCAACAATATGCTGCGTACAAGAGACACACTTAATTCAAAAAGAAACTCATAGACTGAAAGTTAAAGGGTGGAAAACAATAGTCCATGTGACAGGAACCCGAAAAAAAGCAGAAGTAGCTATCCTCTTTGCAGATCAAGTGGATTTCAAACCAAAATCTGAAACACTTCTGGTCCCAAGAATTTCAGATAAGGGACAGTCAACCTGTATGTACAAATCTATTGGAACATGTGTTTTCATTTCTCTTAAGTAAAAACTTAAGAACAGAACTATTGGCTCTTAACAGTAATACAAGAAATTTCTATATTGTTTTCCAAAATGGTTTTATCATTTTACATTCACATTAGCAGTATTAGAAAGTTCTAACTGGTTCACACCTAAGCTGACATTTGTTCTTTTAAAACTTTTTACTTCATTTCCCTAATGAGTGTATAATTCAGTCTTGTTATTGTACTGGTTAGTATTTTTCTGATTCTAGTGTTGCACACCTTTCCTTGTGCTTTACTGGCTATTTATCATCTTCTTGTGTCTACTTTTTAATTGGGCTGTCTATTAATGAGCTGTAAGAGTTCTTTATATATTCTGGCCATAGATTATATGTATTATAAATATGTTCTGGTTAAGGACTACTTTTCATTTTCTTAATGATGTCTTTTAAAGTTCTAAATTTTGATGGAATCTCATTTATCAACTTTTTCTTTTATACATCATGTTTTTTGTATCCTAGGAAATTCTTGCCTACTCTAAATTCATGAACATTTTCCCTTATAATTTCTTCTTAAAGTTTTATAGTTTTAGGCTTTCATATTTAAGTTCATAGATCCTTTCAAGTTATTTTTATCTATGGAAATAAAGGGTTGAGGTTAATTTTTTACATACGGATACCAGGTGTTCTAGTATCATTTGTTGAAAACATTATCTTTTCCTCTGCTCTTGTTGAGTTTATGTTCTATAAAATGTTAATGTTAAATAATCTTTCAAAAATCAGTAGATCATATATGTATGGTTCTATTTCTAGATTCTCTGTTTTATTCCATTGATCTATATGTCTTTCCTTACACCAACATTCCTTTGATTACTGTACCTTTAGAGGAGGTCTTAAATTGGGTAATAAATGTCTTCCAACACTGTTATTTTTTTCTTTTTACTTTTCCAGGTCCTTTGTACTCCTACATAACTTTTAACTTTCAATATCCAATTCTTCATTTACAGCAAATATACATAGACCTGAATTTTTATATATACCTTGTGTTTTCTAATCCTATTAAATTCACATACAAGTTCTACTGGCTCCTAGAGATTTCTTAGATGATCATTTCATCTACATATAAAGATTTTACTTCCACCTTGCCAATCCTATCCTAATTGTGTCATTTTATTGCCAGACTATTTTGATTTGGGTCTATGTTTCAAAGTTTAATGGACAGATGAAGAGTAGGTATAGCTGCCCTTGTTCCCCAGCTTAGGGAGAAAACATTGTATCTTCTCCATTCATATAAGGCGTTTTTGCTGGAAGTATGGAGT